CCGGGCTGGGGATTCGAACCCGCCACCTTAGATGTACATGGCTGGCGCCTTAGCCGGTTGAGCTATAGGCGCCGAGCCATAAACAGTTCTTTAGAATAAATGTTTCACTCATCTTTGGACTTAATATGAATGATTTAAAAAAATCTAGAGAATGATTAAACACCCACTGTAATGAGGACAGGATAGTTTTTTTTTGTTTTTTTTTTTTTGGAGACAGTCTCACTGTTGCCCTGAGTAGAGTGCCTTGGTGTCACAACCACCTCAAATTCTTGGGTTCAAATAATCTTGCCTCAGCCTCCAGAGTAGTGGGAATTACAGGTGCTCACCACCCTGGCTACTTTTTCTGTTTTTAGTAGAGACAGGGTTTCATTGAGGCTAGTCTGGAACTACAGAGCTCAAGGGATCCACCTACCTCCATCTCGAAGTGGTAGGATTACAGGCATAAGCCTCCATGCCCGGCCCAGATAGAGTTCTTTTTTTGTAGTTTTTTTAAGTATAAATATGTGCAGTCAATGCTAAGGATATACAATATGTTCAGCTATCATTCTCAAATTTATCCTCACTAAGGGAATTGTGTATGACCGGTGTGGCTTCCAAAATAGTATTTATCCATCCTAGCTCTACTATTGTGTTTTGCACAGTCTGTTTGGCTCTGGGCCATCTTTTGTTTAGTTGATGTTTTAACTAATAGCCCTTTGCTTTGTGTAACTTCTGCAATCTATGAGCCCTAGGATGTGGTTTCTGGATGTTAGTCGTGCAGGTTGAGCTTTTCCCATCTAAAATGCACAAAAATCCAAAACTTTTGAGTGCGCCTGACATGATGTCAGATGTGGAAAATCTGACCTCATGTGACAGGTACATAAAAATTAATAAGTGCAGCACCCATTGCTCAGTGGGTAGGGCACCATACACCAAGGCTGGTGGGTTCAAACCTGTACATGGCCAGCTAAGGTAACAATGACAGCTGCAACAACAACACAGGCTTTGTGGTAGGTGCCTATAGTCCCAGCTACTTGGGAGGCTAAGGCAAGAGAATTGCTTAAGCCCAAGAGTTTGAGGTTGCTGCAAGCTGTGACACCACAGCACTCTACATAGGGTGACACAGTGAGACTCTATCTCAAAAAAAAAAATTATGAATAATGTATATGGGAGACATGAATTTCATGTTTAGGCTTGGTTGCACCATCAGATACCTCATTATGTATGTGAAAATATTCTGAAATCCGTAACCATTCTGGTCTCCGGCATTTCAGATGAGGGATACTTAGCCTGTATTAACTAAATTCTGTAATATCCCCAGGTATTGTATCCACTTTTGTCCTGGTCA